TCTGAGCAGGTGTGTCGGTACAAGAAGACTAAAAAATAATACCATCAGATTTCAATAAATCATAAAAAGTATTAAAAGAATATTCTCCACCTTGATCACAACAGAAGCATTTGATGATAAAAGAATATTGAGTACACACCATAGCACGAAAGGTAGTGAAAATGGAAAAGAACTCAAACCTACGTGTTATCAAATACACCCAACAATATCTGGTATGATCATCAATAAAAGAAACATAATATCTAGACCCCCCCCCTTTAATAGCAATAGGAACTGGTTCCCAAATATCAAAATATACAAGATCAAATTGTGCAAAAGAACGAGAATTACTTTTACTGAAAGATAGTGCAGTAAATTTAACCAACTTGCAACCACTATAATTTGAAATATCATGACCCTCTAAACTACCTAAACTATAAGTAGAAACTAAAAATTTTAAACGAGAATGAGAAACATGGCCTAAACGAGAATGCCATAAATAAAACCTAGACGATTTTGGAATCAATTGAAAAGAAGATAAATCAATAGTAGATGCAACAACTTCAGGGACATAAAGCTTGTCCAACACATATAGCCCTCCATTTCTATGGCCTGTCCTAATTAGCTTCTTAAACCGTGAATCTTGCACAACACAACCAGTAGAAGAAAAGTGAACTAAAAATCCCGAATCAAACAACTGACTAATAGATATTAAATTTAAAATAAGTTGAGGAATATAGTAGATATCAAGAAGTGTAAGCTGGGAAGACACGATAGTTCCAACACCAGCCAAAGACATTTGGGTGTCATTGGCTATAAGGACAAATATAGAGGTAGGAGAAGCAATAGAAACAAATAAGGAAGAATTACTAGTCATATGATGGGTGGCTCTAGAATCAAAGACCCAAGCAGTTCAAGAGACACCTGAAGGACCTGTAATAAATGAACCTATGGAGAGAGAAACTAATGGGGCACCTGGTTGATGAAGGGAAATAAACTTCTGCAACTGATCAGCTATCATAGTCATGCTGGGAGCTAATGGGAATGTCACATCCACCGATTAAATAGCTACAATTGTATGACGATCTTTGGGCTTAAAAGGCTGATGTAAGGCCCCCTTGACATTCTTTTTCACCAATTTAGAACATTGAACCTTCTAGTGACCCTTCTCACAATAAAAACTACACTCATCTAAAGCAGCTCGACTCCGATATTTAGTCTGCGAGTGAGAAGTCCCTTTGGATGGTACAGCCAGTAAAGTCTGATTAGGCAATGGAAGAAAATCCTTTCCAAAAAGAGTCTTAAGACGAATTTCTTCAGACAGAAACTCATTCAATACTGCATCAACTATAGGAAGTGGGAGACGATGGAGAATAGAATAACGAAGACCCTCAAAGTCATCTCTAAGAGTCATCAAAAACTGTACCAATCGCTGCTCCTCCCTAAAGGTACGATATACCATATGAGTACTCAATTCAGTAGGTTCAGCAAGTGCTAACTGATCCCAAAATTCAGTCATAATCGAGTAGAACTCTTGTATGGTCTTATCACCCTGACGTGCAATTCGAGTTTTATGCCAAGCTGATATCTCTTTGTAAAATTGGACTAAACAAACAATGTAGCTAAATAATTCCAAATCTCTTTGATTGTGTTAAACTTAGTCAAATGCACACTAATGGTCTGATCAATTGAGTTGTTAATCTAAGTGATGATTTTAGCATTGTTGACTTCCCAGGTATTCTTTAAGTTAGCATATTTATCTGTCTTTGAATCTGTTGGAACTTGCAAAGTACCACTAACATAACTCCACATCTCTTTCCCCAACTAGAAATTTTTCATAACATAAGACCAATATGCTAGAATATATTAAATATTAACACCCACATGTTACAGATATTCTCCATTGATAAATATTAACACCCGCATATTACAGAATTCCTTCTTTGAGGACATCAGCATTAATACTCGACATGCACAAAGACCAAGCATAAATATGTAATTTCGAGTGGAGCTTTGTATAATCAAAGCTTTTGGTTATTTTGTGTCTTCTTATACAAATTTTAGAATTCGTACGCCGATAGAAACATTTTACTTTTATTTCATTATTTTGGGGACTCAAGGTATTTAGGTAATTTGAATAATTGCAAGACTGGTATGGTACTTCTACCCCACGAGTTTTATTGTATTTTGTAGCCCATGTGTCTTATAAAGGGTTAAGTAATCTATTTGGATCATTCTAGGTGGGCTTCAACAGAGATATATAAATCTAGTGTTCTCAGTCCTAAATGGCCACCAAATATAACATGATCTCCAAGTTTACTTGCCTCCAACTTCACTTGGTCCTCAAGCACCTATATTATGTCTTAGCTCCTTTTTGAAATAGCGAGTGAAGACTCACTATGAATGACTTCCTATTTTTTCTATGATGTGTTGTGTGTCATCTTTTGGTATGAATGCCTACGAGTTGATGCAATATTAAGGGATAATCCAGCGGAATTACAGATGAATTTCCAGAGTTTTCTCGACCAATAATGATAGGGATTTCTAAGTGGGAATTACAGTCTTCTCAACCTTACCTTAGGGTGTCATTCCTAGGATGTTCTAGACAGGATTGCTAGATTCTTAATCTCCTACTTTCTTATTCTCTAAACACTGCCATATCAAGCTCTACCCAAGCCCAACTTTTCTCCTAACCTTTTGGCCTTCAATACAACACTTAAACACCATAATTAGTCGCTCTCCACAACCTCCGGCACCTAATTTTCTGCAATTCCTACAGCCAAACCCATCTAAAATCGAGCCAATTTCGATTCATTCTTATCCCTAATCCTATCATCACCCTGTTCTAGTTCTAGTTAATAAAACGACAAGTGTACAAGCTTTCCATGACCTACGTCCACCACCAAAACAATCATCCTGCACTGGTTGAGCTGAAGGAAACGTGTACACTTTTTGGTTCGATAGGAAAAAAAATTCTAAAGAGCTAAATTTTGTTATTGAAAATGTACGGTCCTGTTTTTTAAATACTGGATCATCAAGGACGTAAAGGCAAATGATAAACCAAAAATACTACACCAAGCCAGATTGTCTTGTGAAGGACGCAGGAGTTGATTGACGAAGAAATATTATGATAAAAGAAGAGGACTAGAGATTGTCAAAAACTGCTAGAATAATCTTTTTGTTAAACACACGGACGTTGGCTTAAAGAATTTTCACAACTGAAGCTTTCGGGAATTGTGAGATGCAACACTAACCTTGGGTGTGATGCCCAAAGGACTCTAAGTAGTTGCTAGAATCTTGATTTATCTTCTTTTTCTTCCTTCTTCTCTTAAATCTAAATTGTATTTCCCATAATCCCAATCCTCTCCCTACATTAAAGCATTTTCTCTATCACTAAGTTGAATTTCCAGCAACATATTGCCTATGTCTCTTCCCATCTTCAATCATTCAAGATCAACAACATAAAGAACAACCACAGCCCTAATTAGAGTCCACAAGTATTGTTCATGACAAAGAGAAGATCCAACAAATTGTCTTCCCTAGCGTAATTATTACCTCAAAACCTTACCTATTCCATACACCTAGTCACCTACCCAATACCTTCATCAAATTCCAGTCCAAGGAAAGCCAAAAAAAATCAGCCCTCACAAATGGTCTTTTCCCAATGCCTTCTATCAATTGTGGTAACCATAACTGGTAAGGGAGTGTTTCATCACAATTTCGCCACATCAATCTAGCTGGAATCTCCTAAAAGTGTGAGAAACAGTCTCCTACAAAAATTTCGACATTCAGATATGCATAAGAACATATCTTTAAGGACAAGTATAGAATTTTAATTTAACTATATGCCAAATCAACAATTGAAATAAGGGGAAGATGAAGCTCAACAGGCACCACGTGCATATTATATGCCCTATATTATCAGCAACAGCTATCTTATATTTTTATCTCTTCTAAGCAGAAAATTTCCAGTTATATCATACACTGATAGCCCCGTGTACAATACCAATTAAAGGAAGAAACAGAAAAGAATTAAGCAAACAGAAATTTTCCAGTTATGTCTTACACTTATGGCCCCTTGTAAAATACCAATTAAAGGTAGAAATAGAAAATAACTAATCAAAAGTGCATATCCAAAGCAGGGACACCAACTTTTAGGTAAGTTTCTATATGCGTTCCCATGTTTCTCGTGTTACGAATAAATAATACGACATCATGTTGGACAAGTTGGCGGTTCGGTTTCAAAAACCAAGTTGCATAAGCACACATAACGGGGATATCAGGGAGCATACCCAAAGGAAAAGGACATATCAGACATGAAATAATGTGATTGGGACCATTCTTGATCAAGTTTTGGGTTACGTCACTATCATAGTTGTATACGTTAAGATTGGTGAATGAGCAAATCATGTACACAAAAGCGACTTTGATCTTTATTATGGATACTTTCCATCAGCCATTAGTTCAAACTTCAAATGGTTTACAATGCTAGTCAAGATGATGGGTAAGAACTGTTTTGCTCCAAATAGTAATAAATGAAAACTTAGCAACTGGCATTATGACAAGTTAGAATGAATCAGACCAACGATTGTATCGTACTAAATCAAGAAAGTGACAATATGGGGAAGGCCTTTGATTCAAATTTACGTATATAGTGGACTATAACCAAAGATAAACCAAGTAAGGAAAAAGAAAAGCAAACAATTAGACCTGTTTAAAGATTCTGAGACTTCTATCATAGTGACAGCTTGAACAAGGAAAGGCATAATAATTCCTTAACATCTGATACAGAACTGTCCCTTAAACTAAAAATGAATTAGCTAAAAAATGTAGACTGCCGTAAAAACTTTAGGACTAAAACTACTAATGGGTTAAAAAAAATTAAAAATGGAAGAGAGGGAGAAAGAGAGAGGTGAAAGAAATCAAGGAGCATTTCTTGTTAAGCCTTGAAGAGAAGAAAGAGGAAAAATAGTTGGGATGTGGATTCAATAGCATTTTAACATAATGTCAGAATGGATGGACTAAGAATGAGGTGCTGACACAGCAGATGCAGTTTTCTTGTCCCCTATCTAGATGAGACCAGCAATTTTACATTAAAGAAGCAAATATGTCTGGACTCTGGTCTGGACCAGGGCCCAAACCAAAAAATAGGTGCTGACACAGCAGGAAAGGTTTCTTTGCTCTAAACCATATCAGAGCAACATAAGTAAAACTCACTTAAGATTATCTAAGCCAATAAAATCGTAGATACAAAGTATAGACTGTGGATATTTAGATCTGCAGATGATCACAGACAACTGTTTGATTTAGTTAAGATGAATTAATCTACTATGGCCAAACAAGAGTTCAACTTCAGTGTGCAACACCATAAATAGGGTTCTAAAACCCCTCGTGGTAAGTTTTCCAGTAGTAAGGGGGGAAAAGAAGAAGTATAATTTCTATTGAAACAAAATACCCTTTTGTGGAAAGAATGATAAAGAAATGCAGTACAACTTGCACTTACTTGTTCCCTTGCAAATGCCTCTGCCCCATCAAATGCAAGATATATGTGAGGAGTTTTCTCCATGACCAGTCTTGCCAGAGAGATGGCATTAACAACAGTGGTGAGACCAGAAACAGCTCCACATTTCTTTGAATTACCATCCATGATGCATGCTTCCATTTCAACAGTGCCTTTGCTGGTCAGCACGGATCCTTTACCAGCATTGAAGTGCGAATTGTTTTCTAGTTCACGTACCTGCACCGTCCAGTTTTGTTAAAAGCAGGACATTTTATACACCGGAAATAACAATTACAATCAACCAAAGAGGATAGCTAAAGGCCCCTGACTAGTATAAGATACAGTGATATTAAGCTTCCCAAGCTAGCATATGTCTAGAGCCAGCTCTATCTCACCCTGGGAAAGTAAGAGCCACTAAGATGCGTATTTGTCTGACACATTTTCAAACAGTAAACTGAGGTAATATATAGATCAACGAAAAATTTCAATGAGGACAGTTCCACTCAATTCCAATCCAGGTTACTCCCTGTTTCCTTGTCTTATCATCATTCTTAATCAACTAAACCCCATTCCATCAAGAACCCAAGTCATGCAAGTATACAGAAACACTATCTGGAAAAGATCTGTGACGAGATTTCGTAAAATGGAATCGATGGGGGTGCAAGAAAAACTATAGGCCGTGACGAGGTTGTCGAAGCAAAATTGTCGGACAGATGCCATGAAACACAGAACACTATTCATCTTGAGTTCCATCTTCACTCAATGACATCAACAAAATATATCCTCTCCAAACAAAACAAAAAAGAATAGATAAAACTTACGTTGTACCTCTTTTCAGGGTGAGAAGTAAAGCTTTTATAGTTGGTATTTTTCCCTTCAACATTTAACATCCGTGAACTAAATGAACATTTGAGAACACCAAAAAATTAATACGAAAAGAAATGAATCTTCTTGCTTCATCTACCAGTAGTTCCTCAGAAAGATGATTTGTTAAATATAGGATCCAGTTTCACAATAAAGGAAGCATCAAAACCTCTGACCCAAAATTGTGGCTCGCACCATCATCATTCACTAATATTTAAAATTTTTGTCTGGCCTTTAATCTGTCATTGTAGAAGCATCATTGTCACCTCTAATTCAAAAGCTCAAACTCCATCAGTCAATTGGTCAATACCCAAACAAATAAAGAAATGAACACAAAAAAAACAAGCACATGGTGTTGCCAGTAATTACAAGTTCAAGTCTTAAATCTAGGAGTAGTAACAACATTAAAAATGACGCACAAAGAATGCTTCATGACATTCCCATGAACATAAAATTCCTCCCTTAAACTTTATTAGACCTCAACTTGGCAAAAATTCTTTGGTTTTTTTTGAAAACCCAAAAGCGCTTTTTGGCTTAAAACAATCATCTCTAAAGCATTAGCATGACATCACCTAGATCCCATGCTTAAATCAATAAACTTAAAACCTTTCAAAATTCTATCATCGTCAGTCTGGCTTCCTTATGCTCCATTATTGAAATTTCTCATATTGAACTGAGAAACAAAAGAGTGACGCCTAATACACGAGGTAGAAACTTTATTTCCACACACACATACATATAATAACTCCCATAAAAAATTCAAGGATAACACTAAGTTGTGGGTTCGAATCTAGAGGCGACACTTTGTGCAAATAATATGAAATTCAAAGTTCATAGTCAGTCCACCCTCTCTCATCAACCCCTCCCATCACTATTAATTACCAATCAATCAAATCAATAAATGTCATCTTTATATAACACCTAAAAACTATAGTAAGGATGGATTAACAAAGAAGATAATTTAATCTATACATTGGTTTTGAAAAAGGGTCAAAATAACTCGTTAATCAAGTGACAACCTTAATCAAATGACAACTTAAAGGATCACATAAACGAGGGCACGCCAAGAACGCACAAACTTGCACAATCAACGAGGCAAGTCAGAGTGTCTTGACCGGTCAAACGGAGGGCACAGTCCACCTTTGAGAATGTGCCCAACTAGATTAATAAATGTCTAACTTCACGGTCTTATTTACCAAGCATGCTTTGAGCACACCCTAAACAATATGATTTGAAAGTTAACTCCTCGGTTCGACATCAAGCAATAATATGTGTTACCCATTGGAAGGAGAAGTGGGGATAGGGAGAATTGAGTTAAACACCAAAGAGTAAGGAGTTTAAGCGGGTTCTACTTTTTAGGAAAGGGGCAGATTAAGATAAGCCCAAGGAAAGGATAATCTCGAGCTTATCAAATAAATATTTGATTAAATTAGTAAACCTAATATGATTATACGAGAATAAATAGGACTTATCCGAACTCAAAAAGATATCTGACCAAAGAGGTCAACCTATCAAAAGAGAAACCTAAGAAGGTCATAATGTTGAATAAGCCAAGGCTTAGGGTCATACAATACAAATATCAAAGAGTTCAACCAAATGAATCTTGTACTGATAATACTTTCTAATTTAGTCTACCCAATCTTTGGCAATTTGCTCGTTATTCTGGAGATCATGTTCCATACTCTTCTCACTGGTACAAAACCTACTTAGGTCAATTTACATATATATGATAAAGTACAAAGGATTTTCAATTCCCCCAACTTATAAAATCGTTTGAACGTCCCAGATCACTTTATTAATATTCATTGTTAATCTAACAGAAAAAATTAAGTCTCCCACATATATTTTCCCACTCATTAAATTTATCCCGCCAAAATAATTTCAGATAGAGATGTGAGGGATAAAGATAGGACTTTATCTCTTTTTAAGGTTTGAAAGCAACAGTCCCCAAGCCCTAGCAATTCTCTGTCACACGGTCTCTCCACTCCCCCAACTCCCAGTCATGTTTCTCTTTCTCTTTGTGAGATCAAAAAATATATGAAGTATTGACACATTCGGCACCGGCCAAGAAAGCAGTGGCATAGGTAACTCTTTCTCCTCACTCTCCTCTAGCATCGACCATATTATTTTTGGGAATCAGAATTTTTTTGTTCTCATAATTTTTTGTGTTCTCTCTCACCTTCCCCCAGCAACCAAGACATACACTGATTAACATGCACACCCATCTTTCCCCATTCTCTCTCTCACTCGATGCCACATCACCCCCTCTCTGCCCTCTTCCTTCTCTACCCCAACACAAATCCACCATTGCACGCATATCGCTAAACACACAACACCTCCTCGCAGCACCTCTGCCTTAACGAACATCAACAACATCGCACCCCTCTGCCTTAGCTTCCTCCTTTTTGATAATCAATTTAATCATTTGATTATTGATTTTGTAATTTACTGTTTATTTTAGTGTTTAAATTGGTTTTGGAATAACATATTTTTCAATTCTGCAGTATGTTTCCCATCTTCTTCATCAGCACTCTTGGCCTCCATTGGCAAGGAAACTAACCCCGATAATTTCGTCTTCCCCCTTTCTGCTATTTTCATCCTCTGCCCCAACGCAAATCCACCACCACATGCACTCCACCACACACATACCACCAGGTATTTCACAATGGCCTAAGTTGATTTTCCTTGATCGAGTTACTTATATATTTGTAATGACTTTGAGCTTCAATAATTTGAGTTTAATCGTACCAATTTCTATTGCAATCAATTGACATACAATGGGGACTCAGAATATTTTAATGTTGTAATATCATTCGTATAGATTTGAAATACTTTGTAATGTTGAATAGAGCATTCGGTCAATATATTATATTAGAAAGGCTTTTGTGAATGAAAATAAAAATGTTTATGTATTTGTGGACTATTATGACTATTTGATCTTACAATTTTCGTTCTTTCAGTTTCTTTATATGTGATCTTACATGCTCCTCATCTTACCTGGTCAGCTTGATGAAGTCTATCAAAAGGATTTTTATAAAGCTTGGATATTCTCAAGTTGCCATTTGGAGAAGGTTGCTTGAAGGCAACGGTTTCCTAAGTGAAGATAAGGTGGGATTTTGACAAATTCGATTTAGGATAAAAGAATCATATTTGGTTTTCTCCTCCATCATCACGGCAGCAACTAATCAATGTTTGAGAGGAGTTTGGCGTAGATGTAATTTGGGACCAGATATCTCTAGTTTTCCATCTCTTTACTTATAGGTTGTTGCCATCAAGTTTGTGTTTTCGATGGTTTTTTTACATATAATCGGTGGAGTTTTGGAACCCGAAGAATGACAGTTTTTTACATTGTGCTTAACTTATTTATTTATGGTGAAATATGCATATATAATATGCAGCTGTGAACTTTGTTGTTATTATATAAATGTACTTTTGGTTTGGATTATGTAGTAGTTGTGATGTAATATTTTTTTTAAGTTAGATTATTTAATTTATGGCTGACATTGTATACAATTGGTCTGTGTTTGCCAATGATACTTACATACAAAAGTATTGAAAGTATTGTTTAGGAACTGTCGTACTCGTAGGTGATTTTTATGTGTTATGAAGTGGCTTTTGGTGATTTTTTGTATCGAGTAACACCAAGAATCAAAATTTTATTTCGAAACATTTCCGTTTCTAAGAAGACCGAAGCAAATCAGCAATGAATCGAGATTCTAATATTTCAAGGTGTTTCATAATGTTTTGTGGTGTTTTATAATGTTTCAATATATTTGCTACTACATTTGCATAATTATTTGGGAATATTTTAAGGTATTTCAAGATATTTTAATATATTATAACTGATTTTTTTGGAAAAAATAATTCTTTAATTTTTTATTTTTTCATTTTTTCCCTGCAATGGTTCGAGGCAAAATGTTTCATTTTCTAGGAGATCGAAACAATGCTCTGAAATAAAATTATAATCAAGACATAATAAATTTAAGTGCCTTATCACCTCCGTTGAAGGCTTCAACTTGGCCACTGAAGAAGGCGAAGGTTGGGCGAGAGACTAGGCCAACTTACTGCCATGCCATGGTTGAAGCTTTAGGCTTCATAGACGGAACAATGTATTAGGTATTAGGGAGGGGAGGACACCACTCAGCACCTAAGGTGGGGTTCAATGCCTAACAAAAACGGCCAAAAGAAAAAAAGGGCAAAAAAGAGATGTATGGCTGAGGGAGGGAGAGAAAGAACGCATGCATGGAGATTCTGTATTCAGTGATCGATAACAACAGGACAGAACATAAAACTATCAACTAAATCAATTGCTTAAAATAAAAGCCGAAATTAGTTGATGAGTAGCCAGAGGGAAAAAAAAAAAAAACCAACGAGAATATCAGTCGGGTATTCCATGATCTTCGTTAGAACACCCGAAAGACGTCTCATGACTGTGTGGATGTGCGTGAGAAGATGGAGAGAGGGATTGAAGTGTTACCACAAGTTCAACAACGTCCAAGGGGGACTTTTGGGCCTTGAGAGCAGCGACACCGACCTCTAGACAATGGTGGAGGGCGGCCTCTCGGGGCTCGCGGCGTTCCTTTGGCAGAGTCAGTGGAATGTCGCCGGCGCCGCCGTGTAATGCGATTGCCCACCCCATCTCCACCACCAACCCTCTCTCCCTCTCTCCCTCTCTCTCTCTCTCTCGCTCTCTCGCTCTCTCTCTCTTGTATTGGACGGACAAAAGCCCCTGCGCTGCAGTGTAATGTCGCAAAAGTCAACCTACTTTCACCTTTTCGGAACAATGTTAGTGGGACCACATAATTTAAAGAATTAATGATTATATCGATTAAATTGTTGGTCGATTTTAACATTAAATTATTATTAGGTCTTAATACTATTAATTCAATAATTATAATACATTAAATCTTTAAATTATGTTTCAATGACATTAGTAATTAAAGAATTCAATTAAAAAAAATTATATATATAATCCTCAAACTATCATGTTTATGTCAATTAAGTCCTTCAATTTTTTTGTATCAATTCAATCTCTAAACTCACTAATTATGTCAATTAAATCATTCTATCTGTCTTCATTAAAAAATCTAACGGAAAGTAGCAATGCATCACTCACATGAGTGAATTATGATTCATTTGTGTCATATGAGTTGCATATTTAGTCATTTTTTATTAAAAAAATATAACGGAAGCAGACAAGAGTGTTTAATTGAAGCAATTAGAGAGTGTATGAGTTCAATTGGCTAAAAAAAATTAAAAAATTAATTGACATAAAAATCATAATTTAGACTTCTTTGTCAAAAAAGATGACAGCATTAAAAAAGAATAATATGTAATTAATGTCAAAAACCACCGACTTCATCCTTAACAATAGGCGTCTAACTTTTCAAAGCAAATTTATCTCTTATCCCTTAACTGTCAATTCCATTCTTTCTTCTTTAAGTTTTACGCTCCGTTTGGTACGATGAAAAAATGAGAGGATAAAAAGTTGAAATGATGAAAAGTTCGAGAGATAAATAAAACATCATGTTTGATAAGGAATAAAAATAGAAATGATGGAAAAGTGGATGAATTAATTTTCCTTCCAACTCACCAAAATCAATTCTTCCAAAATCGAAAAGAAAGTAGATGAAAAATTAATTATTTGTGTTGAGATGTATCTTATTTGTCTATATATCTTATGTATACATTAATTTCGTATAAAAATATAATATGTATATATTTTAATAAATTTTAAAAAATTAAAAAAAATTAAAAAAAATTAATAAAATTAAAATTTTAAATTAAAAAATATATTTTTTTCCATTAAAGGTGAAAATTTGCGACTCAACACGATAACACGACTCGAACTCGATACGAAAATAATCAGGTCAACTCGCAACTCGACACGACACAATTAATTAAATTATTTAAGTTAGGTTTGATTAATATTTGACATAAACTCGTAATGACTCAACATGAATCTGACATGACACGACTCGACTCGATTGTCACCCCTAGTCTTAGCTAGCACAAAAAAAAATAGTTATTTTTATTTTCCATCCATCCAACCAAACACAAAAGAAATAAAGTGTGTTCTTCTTACTTTCTATCATTGAAGGATAGAAAGTGTATTCCTTCTACTTTTCATTTTTCTTACTTTTCATCCTCCCTACCAAACGGAGCGGAGCATTAGGGTTCTCCAATTTGAGATTCTCTCTCTCAATTGCCCTTCAATAGAATTCATCCTTGCTCTCCTCCATTCGCCTCAGTCAAAAAATTACCACATAAAAGCTCAAATCCGCAATTCGTTGAATATGGGTAGACCTCCACCTTGAATTTAGGAATTATTAGATGGTAGTATTGTGATATAGCTCTTGCTATTATGAATTCTCGAGTACATGAACCACGTTATGCACTTTAAGACATATAATATTTTTATTCAGACCTCAACCCGGGCGTCTTTGATAATCTAACTTAAGTTTTAAAATTGAACACTTTCAGTGCTTAATGAATTAAGTTTGTTTGATAACTCAATATTACAACTCCTTAATAAAATAAGTGTCACTTAAATGCAAGGCAAAATTTTAAGTAGCTCTTTACCTACTTAATATTGAAGACTAAATATGCTCAACAACTAGGTTTTTTAATAAAATTTTATTTGACAAATTTGCCCTAATAGTTTCACATCCCTATTGCATATCTCCTTCATCGCCTCTGCATCTTCTCCACAATCTCAAAATTCTTTGTTGCCTCTGTCAGTGCCATCCAACAAACATAGTATGTTCTTCTTATCTTCTTCCTCCATTCTTCCTCTTTTCTTCTTAATACAACAACACACAAGCAAAAACGTGAACGAACAAACAAAATTTTTTTTGCACTCTTGGGATGATTCTGATGAACAAAAGTAAACGAACAAACAAAAAAAATGATTTTTCACCGACTACCCAACTGAAAAAAATCCATCAACTGCCCAACCGAAAAAAAAAAAAATTTCACCGACTACCTAACCAGCAAGCCACTACCGTCCTACCTTCAGTAGTAACCGACAGCAACACAAACACCCATCAACCAACCTCACCCACAAAAACCCAACCCATCTATTTTGGTCCACATGTTTTATTTTGTTCTGGTGGTGTTGTTGGTTTTGTTATTTAGTGTGTTTTTGTTGTTTTAAGTTTGTTCAATTTTGGGATTCATTTTTTTTTTTGTATGTTGCCTGTTTGATTTGTTACTTCAAAGAAAATATACAAATGTGTTTGTATTCAAATTTTTGACAATACAGTGTGAATTGAGGTTCTAAATATGTTTTATTTGATAAGTATTGATGTGTCTTGATGTGTGAAAAACCAACCTTACATATCTTGTTTCTCTTTTTTTTTGGGTATTAGTTAATTGTCTTGTCTTCTTCAATTCTTGTAATCATCAATTTTTTTGTATACTAGTGGGTCATAATAATAATTTGACAATGTTAAACAACATCATATAGACTAATATTTTGTTAAAAAATGGTTATTTATGGATGGTTTCTAATGATGGTGCTAGAGCAAATTGGAAGGATCCAGATTTGCTTAAAATCTTTAATGATTTGTGTCTGCAAGAATCATCTGATAAAGGAAGAAATGGAGGTACCCTGAAAAAAGAATCTTGAGATTATATAAGGGTAGATTTAAAGGAGCGAAAGAATGTTGACTTCTCCTAGAAACAATTGAAGAATCAGTGAGAATATCTAAGAACAAAATATGGAATATGGTCAAAAACAATATCAAAAACTGAAAATGGTTATGATCCAGAAACAAACACTATAAATTGGAGTTCAACAGAATGGGAAGAGTATATAAAGGTATTATTTTATTCATTGTTAATTATTCTTACAAAACTATACCACAAATAATTATTGAGCTTTTTTATATTTTTATGTCACTGGCTAATCCAGATGCAAAGCAATTTCGCTATAATGGACTACAATATGCAAATGAGTTAAAAGTTTTGTTTGATGGTTTTAGAGCAATTGGAAAAAATTCATGGAGTCCATCGAAGGAAGGGTTGCCAATGGATATGGTCAGCTCATAATCACAAACACCGATTAATCTTGACGTTGAATCTGTTAAGATACCTTCTTTACCAAAAGATGTGACAAAACAAGACAATAAACGTCAAAAGAAAAGTAAACATAGTGACCTTGATGAACAACTATTTGAAGCTCTTAAGACATTACCAAATGCTGACGGATCAAGTATAGAAGAATGAAATCGTATTTTGGATGAGATGCAGCTTTTTGAAATGAGTGATTCATTGTATGATGTTGCGTGTAGTGGTTTTTGTGAGAGTAAAGCATACAGAGAGTTGTGGATGTTATTACGTCAAAAACCAAAAGTAGTTAGAAAGACATGAATAGAAATGAATGGCAAGAAACTAAAGTTGCTTTGAATTTTAGGAATTACTAGAAGTTACGAGTATTATTTTTATAGGAAGAATGTATGACTATTTTGAATGTGAAAGATTGTTTAAATTTATTTGTTTTATAATTTTTGCTTAAGTATGTTATTGTTGAAATTATCTGTAGTGGTTTTTGAATGTTTATTATTTTGGAAGCTAACATACATAGGTAAATTGTCTTATATTGGACTAATTAGATTTTATTAATTTTGTCTAACAACATGTTGTCTGAAAAATAGAAGTGTGCATTGAAGGTTGTTGTAACTTCTTTGATATTCAAAATATAGAGGAAAAAACGTGTTGCACTGAGGCCAGAAACTGATGGTTTGCTTCATGGGTCTGGATATTTAAATGAAATACTTGATGGAAATCTAAGTCATTGTCAAGAGATGTTAAAGATGAAAAAAGAAGCTTTTATAATTTTATGTGGTCATTTTCGAAATAGAGGGTGGCTTGAAGATAGTCGTTATGTATCCATAGAAGAAAAGATGGCAATGTTTCTCATAACATTGAGTCATAACATACGAAATCGTTTTGTGAGATGAAGATTCAATCATTCAACACAAACAATACATAAATACTTTCATGAAGTATTAGATGCAATGCTCCATTTTTCAAAAGAGATGATTGTCCCAACAACTACGAATTCAGTTAATCACATAAGTCATCACTGTCGGCTCAGAGGAATATTTAAGGTATTTTTTTCGTTTTTTTTAACTTTATAGGATATATAATGATTTACAGCTTTTTAAAATTCTAACATTTATACTAACATATTTATTTTTGAAAAGGTGTGGTGGGTGCACCTGATGGAACTCTTATTTCTGCTGTTATATCACCAGATGAACAAGTTTCATACAGAGGAAGAGACAAAGGAGAATGTTTTCAAAATGTACTCGTTATATGTGATTTTGACCTTGTATTCACATTTGTATGGGTAGGTTGGGAAGGGGTAGCACATGACTCAAGAGTTCTAAAATAAATTATGAGTGATCCAGCTAATAATTTTTCAATTCTTCCTCCAGGTTAGATGAAAATATTTAAATAATGTTACAAAATATTTTTGTAGATAATTTATTTTATATTATTCGTGCAGATAAATACTTTTTATGCGATGCGGCATATACACATACACGTGAATTTATATCACCCTATTGTAATGTGCGATATTGGTTGTCTGATTTTCAAAATCTTCGTCCAAGAACAAAAGAAGAGTTATTC